TATTAATTCAATTAAATAATAGATATTTCCATATATATGCATTGATTATATATATTCAAAGTGTTTATGTCCAAAGTTGATTGGATTATGGCATAACACTTACAAATACTGGGTTACATTATAATTTTTTTGTTTTCATTTGCTTTATCTGTTTAGGTTGTTGGAGTTGTGTGGCTAAGTGCCTTTGTTGGTGTATCGGTGTGCATATGTTGTTTCCTTAACATTTCTTTATGTGTGTACCTTTGTATGCTTATGTTGGTTCCCGTGTGTCTTCCTTTTTGTGTTTCTTTGACGGTGTCTTCATGTGTCCATAATGGTGCCTTCACCTACCCAGTATGGTCTCTACATTGTTGCATTTGTTCCGCAAGTTACTTGTCGTGTTTACTTTATATTTTATTTTTTCGTTTGAATTCTTTAGAAAAGTATCATATTGCTTTTAAAGGTAACATATTAGGTTACCTTCAAATGTTTGTTGTTTTGGTGTTTTGCATACATTTGTTCTTTTGTTTGTGTGTTTTTTGTCTAACTAAGTTGCTTCCTCTTTGTGCCTATGTTGTTGCAATTGTAAGCCTTGGTTGCATTCTCATGTTGGTTTTGTTTGTGTTTTTACCTTTTTTGTGTCACAATGGTGTCATTGTGTTTTTGCGTCTGTGCTTTTATGCCCACGATATTACCTTCGTCCTCCTTAATTTGCTTATATTTTGTAATTTTTTTTTTCAAGAGTAATGAATTATCTCAAGAAGTATCATATTGTATTACCTTTTAATATTTGTATCATACGCTTGTTGCCCATTTATTATTTTATGAAATTTACACGATTAATCTCGATTCTATTGTTATTCTATGGGATATGGAATTTTTATTGTATCCCAGAGAGTGGTTGTTCGAAAAATTATTTGTGTCATCAGGCATCTCCACAGTGAAAATTCTTTCTGCAAATTAATTAGAGATGCTTAAAAGTTCATGTGTTTGGTCCATATCTTGATGTAGAGCAAATTTAGCCTATTTTTGATAACCATTGTTGCAAAACTCTTTTTTTCTATATGTTTATTTTCAACCACACATTCACGCTATGAAATATTTTGCACGTAAACCTAAAACTCTTTCCCACTTCTTAACTATGCATTCTCAAAAAAATAAAAAATAAAAATCATTTTTCAATACTCCATTTTAACCGGGGCTTACTAATTGCCACGATTGATTCATTATGAAAATAAGTTTTAAGAAAAGATTTATTCCTTATATATTCTTCCTTTTGTTAGTATGGTTCTCATTGTGTTTTAAGGAATATATTTATCTGGCTGACACATTAATTCTATGTTGTCAAAGATTCTTTCGTGCTACTTACAGAAGAAGAAATCATGCATGCCAGCTTGACAGTGCTCACAACCGCACTCAGCTTGATCCCTGATTTTAGAGTATTACTGGGTTTTTCGTTATTTAAATGTTAATGTTGATCCTGATGAGAAGGGATTTGTTTTGTTTTGGATGAATCATGAATCACAGAGAGTCTAACCTGAGTTTCCCTGTAGAGTATCATCTTTTATAAAATTCCTCTCTTGTCGATAATAGAAATATTCCACTACCACTTTCGCTAGTTTTAGTCGAGGCTGCATACTTTCGCCTCTGGGTCGGCCGAGCTGCTACTTTTGATAGACTTCATCGTCATATGATTGTCAGGCAATCACATTTGCTAGTTAATTACACAGCCATTTCTATTCAAAAGTATCTATTCCGAACATTTGGGCTAGATGATTAGAGGATGACAGTTATAATCGGTTCTATTTGATTGAGTCACGTCTGTACTTTTTGCCATAATTTCATCAAGATAAGCTCACAATGGCTAGTGGAGGAGGAAAATACCCAAGGTGAGTGGTTAGATTACATTCAGTTGATACTAAATTCCTTTAAAATTATTTTCTTCTTCTTCCCCTATTTATTCTCACACTAGAATGGCCACGGGGGAGAAATGTCCACCACTTCTTGCAGGTTTTAGGCGGGGGCAGACTCAGCTTTCAGCGAGCCGGCACGACTATCCGTACTGGATCCGTTGGAAAAAAGAATTATAAAGCTTTGATAATTCACGTTTTATATATATATATGTCAAACTTTAACATAAGGTTGCGTAGCTCGTATGATAGATCACCAACTTTTTATGTGACAAGTACAAGGTGATTTGTAAACAAAACAAGAAATATTGGTATATCAAACTGATAGAGTCTTTGTTTTAAAAATTATTTTTTAAAACTAAAATTCGATGACTCAACGATTGAACCACTAATCCGGTGATTTTTTCAATTAACGACCGGATCAGGTATGATAATTATGCATAATATATACTTTTATTGTTATGTTTTATTAATTTATTTTGTAAAATTTAAATTTAGACAATCTAAATAATGCTATTTATTCTTTTAGAAGTTCGAAAAATACTTTTTTTTGTTAAAAATAGTTCTAAAAATCATTGTTTTAAAAACTTTGCATAAGCTTCGCCTAAATTCGGAACTTATATTTACCGTTTAATTATATTTTACGAATAAGTTTCATTTTGTTTCACTTGAGTTCGTAAAAACTTGAAACTTGATCATAAGTATATGATTCAAAAAATGTATTTTTTTCTTGTTATTTTGGATTGTTGAATTTTCAACGATGGATATATTTTAAATCGATATGCAAAAGAATCTATATTTCATATCGCTTATTATATTTATCCCTTAAATGAGTGAGTCT